CGGGCGCGCCGGGGGAGGCTGGAGCGCTCGAGCAGGGAGGGGACGAAGTGGGGCGAGTGCAGGTGGAGAAACGGCGCCTGGTGAAGGGTTTGCCTGGGTGGGAAGGGGAAAGGGGTCTAGGCGAGGGGTAGTGTGAAACCGTGGGTTGGGGTGCCAGGTCCTGAATGGGGTCCCGAGGGGACGATCAGCTGCGGTTTGTTTCCTCTGGCTGAGGAGGGTGGAGGGGATGTCCCCACAGGTGCCACAGGTGTGTGGGCAACACAGCTCTGGGGTGCAGGTGCCCCGGGGAGGCAGCAGCAGTGAGGGGTGGACGCGACACCTCTGCAGCCCCGTGAGATGTGTCGAGCCCGCTGAGCTCGTGGGGATCCGCAGGGATGGGACGGGATCCGCAGGGATGGGACAGGAGCTGTGGGTCCATAAATAGAAACCCTGGATCCCCTTGCAGCCTGAAGCTGGAATGCGAGAAGCTTGTGAGTGAGAAGACAGAGATGCAGAGACATTATGTCATGGTGAGCTACCCCTGCCCTGTCCCCCCAACCCCCGAAAGCATCCTGGGCTGCTGCCCTCGAGGGCTCCTGGTGCTGTGGCTCCACTCGCCCTCCCCCCGTGCCCTGCCGGGGGTGCCTGTCCCGGGACTGGACTGGGGCTGGGTGAGGCAGGAAGGGGTTAACAGCTATTCCTAGCAGCGCTCAGCTCTCTGCTGCACTCTACGTGCTCAATGCAGCTTCAGCCCGGCAATCCTGCCATAGGTTTTGTCTCTTATTTGCTCTTTCTTCTTCCTCTGGCCTTTTCAGAGAGCTTCCCGCTCCTCCCGGTCTCTCTCCCAAGGGGAGGGTGTTCTGGACCTGATACCCGAAGGCTGCTGTTTTGGGGGGAAGGGGAAAGAGAAGGGCAGGAGCTCCCCACAGATGCCAGTGAAGAGTTAACGGGCTCCAAGACCAACCGACCCAGGCAGCAGCCAGAGCCTGGTTGAGGCAGAGGAGCCACTGGGAGGAAGGAAAGAGGATGGGGAGCAGGAGCAGTGTTCCCTCTCCTTCAGTGTGTGACATTACTGGAAAGGGGGCTGCAGTGGGCATGTGGCTGGGTGGGCAGCTGTGCCATTCCTCGTGGGCTGGGGGGAGCAGAGGGACTGGCAGCTGAAACCCTGGACAGTCATGGGCCAGTTGTGCTGTGCAGCTTCTAACCAGGCTGTGTTGTGGTTTTTCCCCTCAGTACTATGAGATGTCCCATGGCCTGAACATTGAAATGCACAAGCAGGTAAGTGCAGTGGGGTCCAGGCCAGCAGCAGGGTATGGTGGGGAAGAGGCCAAGGATGGAGACTTTGTTGGAAAATGATCTCCCTTGTCCCCATGTAGCTGTCATGGCTCAGGAGATGTGTTGTGTTTGTGCAAGGGACTGGCTTGCAAAGGTGTTCAGCAGTTGTCAGGACATGTGCTGTTGAGTTCCTTGGGTCAGGGTCCTCTCCCTGCCATCCCAAAACACCCCTCAGAGCCCCACTAGGAGCCCTGGTACCTCCCTGCAGTGCTTCCCTGGGGCCCCAGCTGAAGGAGGGATGTGGTGGGAACAGCAGGAGTTGGAGCCCAGAGGTAAATGGATTGTCTTTCTTTTCTTTTTTCTTAATCCCCTTTTCCTTTCCCCAATCCAAAGGAGTGTTGTCGCCCTTGCCTTGTTCCCCTTTTGTTCCAGCGTTAATTTGCTTTCCCTCTTCAGATTTATCAATCTAGTCATCACGGGCTCTCTGCCAGGGAAATTAGTTTGGACCAATGCCTGACAAAGTGGCAAGTCAACTGCCATATTCCTCCAGCTGGCTCAGCCCATCCGAGTTTGCTCCTTTTGTTAGCAGGGAGTGTGGTAGAGGCCAGGAGCACATTCCTGCCATCCCCACGTGCTCCAAGGTCTGGTGGGACTGGGACCCAGAGGTGGGACTGGGACCCAGAGGTAGTCTGAGCCAGGTGGGGCCAGAGACTCTGCCTGTGAGGTAACAGAGGTGATGGCTAAGTGGTTGAGGAACAGGAACCCTGACCCAGCCAGGTCCAGCTCCTGGCTCTGCCTGGGCAGGAAAGGTCTGGGGAGAGGGTTCTCTGGCTCCTGGGGCCCCATGTGGGCATCGTGGCAGTGGCTGAGGCAGCAGCTGAGCCCTGCAGGTGAGCAGGGTGCTGCTGGGCACAGGGGGCACAGCAGCCTCTGAGCACAACAGGTAAATGTTCGCTTTGTTCTCTGCCAGCTCTGAGCGTGGTTTGACCTCTGCAGCACTGCTGGGGATTGTCAGAAACCTGAGATGAGAAAACACTTCAGAGCAGCCAGTCCCTCTGCCAGTGCTGGAGTGGATTTGCAGTGCAAGGGGGAATCAAGTTCTCCCCAGAGACATGGGTTTTTCTTTTGGAGAGGCTGGGCTGGAAGCCACAGCCCCATTCCTTGGAAGTGCTGCTCACCCTGGTGGGACTGTGGCCAGGCTGTGGCTCTGTAATCTCAGACTCTCCTCGGAGGATGCACCAGGTTCTCTGCATTCCTTTGGTGCTGCAGCTGGGCAGGAGCAGGTCCAGGGGTGCTCTGTGCCTCTGCTCCCCTTCAGAAGGAGCAGGGGGAGCTACTGGTTGGCCTGGGGCTCGGTGGGACTGGGAGCAAGGTCCCTGCTCCGGCTGGGGAAGTCACCACCACCAGTGCCAGCACAGTGCCAAGAGGGCTGAGGCTGTGGGAGTTCTGCGTCCCGCTGGCTCTGCCCTGGCTCTGAGTTGAGGGAGAGCTCGGAGGTGGCGTGCTGCCAGCAGCAGAGGCTCAGCTCTGAGCATCCCTGCCTCCCAGCCTGCCCGCTGGCACGAGTGGCAGCCCACAAAGCCACGGCGGGTTTGGGCTGAGCAAAGCCAGCTGGGCTGCGATGCACTGACAGCTCGGAGCTCGCCTTGGCCGCAGTCCACGCAGGGATTTAGGCGTTGGGTTCCCTCCCGTGTGCCCGCAGGACCTGGCAGCCTGGAGGGGTCCAGCAGCCCTGGGCAGAGTCCTCCCTTGGCTTGGCAGCAGCTCGGGAAATCCCAGCGGGGACGCAGAGGCAGCGGAAAAATTTCTGCCAAGTGGGTGTGGGTGGGGAGGGTTTAACTCTCTGCAGGATGTTTGGCTGTCTCCCCTCTGCTGGAGGGGATGGGATGGGGTTCAGAGCCCTCCATCCCTGGTGATACCTGCTTCGTCCTTCAGGCAGAGATTGTCAAGAGGCTGAGTGCCATCTGTGCCCAGATTGTGCCCTTCCTGACGCAGGAGGTAAGGGGAAGGCACCGGAATGCTCCAGCCTCTCTCTCAGGCCCTTGGGAAGGGTTGAATCAAGTCCAGCCTGAACAATGGGAGGTTTGGGGGAGGAAAACCTCCGTCCCTGGGCTGGAGGGATGGGAGAAGAGACTGTGCAGCCCTGGGTGGCTGGGGCAGTGTGGGGCCACGTGCTCCCTCTGGCCAGGAGGGTGCTGAGTCCCCTGTGCTCTCCCTCCCAGCACCAGCAGCAGGTCCTGCAGGCAGTGGAACGGGCCAAGCAGGTGACGATGGGGGAGCTCAGCAGCATCGTTGGGGTGAGTTGCACTGCTGGCTGTGTGTGCAGGCCCTTCCCTGCCTCGGGAGTTTGGACCCTGCAGCACAGTGATGGGGGGAGCCAGAGCCTTTACTACTTTGGTGAGCCCAGGGGTGGCCCAGTGCAGTGAAGGGTTTGCCACTGTGTGCCAAAGGCAGTGAACAGCTCCGGGCTCCCCTGTGCCCCTCTGCCCTGAGCAGAGCCATGGCTGGGTCTGTGTTGTGTGTTGGGGTCTGTGGCTGGAGCTAATTGAGGTTCTGAGGGTGGAGGGAGCAGTGATGTGACCCAGACTGTGCAGCCTCAGCTCTGCTCCTCCTCATCC